TCTCTAAAAAAACAGAGAGGAACAAGAGAGAAAAGGCTGTTCTGTGAATGAGATAAGTTTTATATATGGTTTAATTCCGTCGCAAAACAGAAGCAAAATCATTAACCTAATTTTTAGCCCAATCAGATTTTTTTGGTTTTGGTCGCAAATCCGTCGCAAATCAAGAGAAACTAATTAATTTTTTTTTGTTTACCACCACATACCGTCGCTAATAAGTCGCAAAGAAAGCGAAATTAATTAAATTTTTTGGTTTTACCGCCACATTTATTCGCAAATAAAAGGCAAATCTCGAAAAATAAATTAAAAATTATTATTATCATCACAAATTGACGCAATTGAGTCGCAAATAAAGCAAAATTAATTATTATTTTTTTGGTTTTATCTACACATTCCGTCACAAATCCGACGTAAATACATTAAAATAATAAAAAAATTGTCATCACAAATAGATGCAATTGAGTCGCTAATGAAGCGAAATTAATTATTATTTTTTAGTTTTTTGCCACATTCCATCGCAAACGCCACACAAACATATATTCAACGCAAGTTCGACACAATATATAAGTATTTACGATGGATTTGCGAGTATACAAAACTTTTACGACGCAAAAAAGAAGCAAATTAGATTTGGGGCAAACTTAGGGTTTAGGGTTTAGAGATCAATCATACCCTATAGCAAGCTACCAAAATAAGTGTTTCAATGTAAATTGATAGTTCAAGCTAAATTTAAGCACATATATAAGAAATTCCAGAAATCGTCAAAAATAATCAATTGAACATAGTTTGTTAATATAGTTACATGTACATTAGTCTATTAGTTGAACAATGGTGTTTATCAACAACGTTCCATCGAACAATATAGGGTCTATAATTACCAGTGATTAATAAACACACGAGAGACAATATTATGAAACTAACCAGAACCATAACATTTTAGGGTATAGGGTTTGTAAGTTTGCTTCTGATTTGCGGTTTATCGCCTCAAATTAGTCGCAAGTTTTAAATATCGCCGCAAATTAGTCGCAATTGTTAAATATAGCCGCAAATCCCTCGCAAATTCGCTTCGGATTTGCGTCTCAAAGCCGTAAAAAATCGCGACTATCATTTTGTCCGACAAAAACCGTGCAAAGTCATTGAAAACGTGTTCTAACTACTTTCCACGCAATACAAACGCAAACCGAAGAAAATATCAAGGGCCGCAAATTAGTCGTGAAAGTGCGTCAAATTTGCGTCTAAAAGAAAGACCCTCACAGGAAAATATCTTTATACGTAAATTCGTCGTAATATTGCGTCTAAATTCAATAACTCGAAAAAAAATATATTTCACCATAAATCTCTCGCAACATTGCTACACAGTTGCGTCGAACGACTACGAAGACGCAACATGAACGCAAACTTGCGACATTATTTGCGACGAAATATATTCTCGCAAATTTGCGTTTAATATGCGTCTGTCAACGCAAAACAGACGCACTTTTGACGCAAAATTGCGAGTACGAAAAACAGT